AAACTACGAATAAATGAAGAGAATTTTAAATGTTGTTGTAAATAGTTTCAGATCTTGTATCGCTATCTCCAACAAATCACAAATTACTTCCAGGACACTGAACGACTTGGCTTGACTAGTAGAAAAAAGAATAAAAATTTAAAAGAACATTTATGTACAATTGTCTTTATTGCTGCCAAAAACGAATTCACTCTTCTAGAAGTAAACACGCAACATGTATATATTTGGAAAATGTTTGCATTTATTCATTGAAAAAACTGAGGACTTCAGTTGTATAGAACATTAATCTTATTCATGGAAAAAGTGTTGCAGGTCTGGAAGAATATTATCTATTTTCATTTTGCTAATTATTTTCAAGCTCAGTGTATGAAACTGAATAAATTCAACTAAGTAGATTGTATGTAATAAAATATGTATTTCGTTTCTCTTTTTATGAAATAATCCCTTAATCTCTTTTGTATGTTAAAGTTGTAAACACTCTCTAGTGCCCTCTGGTGGATCTGATATAAACCTCCTATTTAGTAATCAACATAGGAGAGTTTTTCCCTGTGATACTCTTAAATTGGACTTTGAAGAAGCAGGATAGGAAGAGCACAGATGCTTTGGAATGAGATGTCATCTGTCTGTCTCAAGGACTGAAATATTAAGGATTTCCAGTTTGAAGACCTATTAATTCCAGTATGATTCTTGTTAGCCATGTATGAAGTTGCACTGCCCCAAACAGAATGGTTCACAACCTGAGGGTCCACTAGCAGTCACAGCTTTTGCTCAAGGAGCACTTGGGAATTCTGGTCAAGAGAGTTTTGGCACAGTTCTGTCTTGTGTGAGAACTGTGATCTTTTCCTGGACAGAAAATGTTATTTACTTTCATTCATACCTTAGTCACTCTTTGACTGAATTACTGCAATGTGTTCCATATATAGCTGCCATTGAAGAGCATTTATAAGCCACAATTGGCCCAGAATTGAGTGACTCAAATAGTTATGAGTGCATCTTGTGATATTCACACAACATTTATACTGCACTGGTTGACTTTTAGCTTTCAGGTAGAAATCAAGGTGCTGTTGTCACTTTTAAAGCAGTGCATGGTACAGACCAGGCTTTCTTACAGGATTGCCTTTACCTAGGAACATCTATCTACTCAATACAATCTAGCAGGGAAGGCTCCTTATATGTCCCTTTGATCAGACTGCCAACTGCCATGGAATTATGTCTTCTAGTTGCTGCTCTCTCCTTAGAACAGTATTGGCCCTGACACTGAAATGTCCCCTTTATACCTGGCCTTCGGGAAATATGAACATTTGGCTATTTTATCAATAAAAGAGAATATTTGTAGCTTCGGGTTGAAATGAGGGGTCCTTGGTGCTCTCTGAACTTGGTTGTTTTCTTGCAGATGTTTCATTAACTAAACTAGGTTTGGTTCATTAACCAAAGTATATGTTGACTATGCTACCTAGTTTGGATAATAAAAGGTCTGCAAGAAAACAACCAAGCTCAGAGAGCACCAAGGACTCCTTCATTGGCTGTTTCATCAAAGCATATAGACTGCCTCACTCTCCTGATCCCTCCTGAGAAAGATTTTATTATTATTATTCTGCATATGTCTACTGGTGTTATAATACAAAAATCTTGCTTTTAAATTCAATTTGTAATGTTTTAATCCCAGTTACATACTAAGGAATTTCATACTACTCAGATTCAGCTAACTGAAGTAGCCTATAAGCCTTGAAAACAAATAGAACATATTCCTCCTACCTCAAATCATGCTGTATGCTTCAGACTAATTCACACAAACTTCTAAATCAGGGGTGTCAAACTGCCGGGCCCAGGCCGGTTTCAGCATACTGAAGCTGCGCCCACCCAATTGCCAGCAATGCAAAAAGAGTCACGATACATCGCAACACGTCATGTGATGTGGCGAGTTTGATACCCGTGCTCTAAATAGCTTGCAAGTCAAATACTATATTGGGTACTTAAGACTATATTGGGTACTTAAAATTTCTTTGCACTACTGCTATTCAGGTGCAAAACATATATTATGAAAATAGCCTTTATTACTTTTGCATCTCTTATGTGTGTGCATGCATCTTTTTTATACACACTCAGGTATTTTACACAGACACACATGTGAACATTTGAGCCTTTTAACATCTAAATTCCTTTATTTCATTTAGAAAAAATCAAGAGTAGTCTGGTAGCATCTTTCTAATTAACAAATGTTATTAAAAGGCAAAAAACCTCTTTCTGATTTTTTTTCCCTTGAGTGGGGCATTATTTTTGATGAGCAATATGACCCCTTTCACTGGTATGTCATTATCAATCACTAACAGATTTCACATCTCTGTTAATGGTGAAATATCAATGCTTCAAATCACTCAAGTTTTTTTAGCAGTGAGTAGATGAGTGAGTGAGAAAATCAGCTTCAAAAATGCTACTGTGTTTGCTTTTACACCAACTTCATAGGGGGCAACCAACACAAATTCTCAGAAATGAGTCTGCAGTCTATGCATACTACAGAAAGTGCCTCCATCAGAGAATAATACACAGAATGTCTTCAGTAGCAACATACATATAATTATGTTTAACATATTCTCACAATCTTTTGTGAATGCCCCAATGCAAGTACACATACTCCTCAATTTACAACTGATCACTTAGTTACCTTTTGAAGTTCTGACAGACCCCCAAGAGACTTATAACCCAATTTCAAAGATCTGACCTCTAACCCTGTGGTCACATGACCGCAATTTATGATGGTTTTTCCAGAAACCAGCATTTACTTTCAATTTTTGGCAAAACTAGCCCATAGACAACAATGGGTTTGCTTAATGGTGTACAATTAATGGCCACGTTAAAAAATGTTGTAAAATTGGTTCCGGTCATATGGTGAACTCCTTTATGACCATTACAACTTATAATCGTAATTACTGGCTCAATTACTATCACAGCTTATGGACTACCTGTACTATGTCAAAGAAGGAAAGGGGGGAAAAGGTTGTTAGTTATTGTTGCACTAATTAGCTTCAATACATGCCTGATTCAGATATTATATTTTGGTCTAATAAACCATGGCTTTAAAAATGAGCTGTCTGCTCACATTGCCCATTCTTGCCCATTCTTGATATGCTCAGCTTAGATTTTTTTAAAAGTCCTACTTTACCCAAACAGGAAAGCCAGTTAATAAATAACATAGGAAACCAGGTTAGAGGGTGGATGCGGTTTGGGGGGAAATGGGTGAGCAATACCGAAAGTTGTGTGTATAAATTTATTTTACTCTTTATTTGAAGTATTTTTTATGAATGTAATGTAAAATTGAAAATAAAATTTTGTTTACAAAAATAAATAAATAAATAACATAGGAAATCAAAATCCTATCAGGGAAATTGTGACTTTATACGATATATTAAGTTATACAATTAAAATGGACCTTGGATTAGTGGCTTTTCCCAATCCCTTGTTCTGTTTGTGCACCAGAATGTAGAATGAAGGATCTGTAGTTGAGACATCTGGAGGACAACTTGAAAAACATAAGTCTAGGGAATTACTCTGCCTGCTATGCATGTAGAAGGCCGTTGCTTAATGTGTTATGATAGTGATGGTGAACCTTTTAGAGACCGAGTGCCCAAAACCCGGGCCTGGCCTGCCCCTGCACTCCATCCCTGCACTCTACACCCGCCCACAGGGCCACCCACGGCCTGCCACAGATCACCCAGGCAGCCCAGCAGCGCCATGGCAGCCCCCTTCCGCCCATGCCCCGCAGCATAAACTGCGTGCAACGGGGCATGACGGCGGAGTCTTGTCCCCACTGCCCAACTGCCATGTCCTTGGCTGTGCTGCTCTGCATGGGCCGCGCTCAGGGGGGCTGCTAGGGAGGAGAGGGGGGAGATGGGGCTGGAGCAATGGTGCGGATGCGCACAGAGAGGGCTCTTAGTGCCACCTCTGGCATGCATGCCATAGGTTCGCCACCACTGTGCTAGGTGGTGTCATAACTGCAGCTATTTTTATTCATGATTTCCCATTATTTATTCCTCACAAAATGTAAGAAAAGACTAAACTAAAAAAATTACAACATTTATTCCTGTTTGAGACAGACCAGATGCACTAAAGGTTGCTCCATAGATCCATATCTCCTATCGGAATTCAAGATTTCACTAAATGACCCCGTAACAGTCACTCATCTGGCATCTGGCCTCGAAGCAGCTTCCTTTTAGGAACCCTAACCCCCTCCTTATCAGCGCCAAACATGCCCTGTGTCTTCCACCTGTGACCAAAGGACATCTCCTGCATTTGTGGTATTTTCTCTGTCCCCTCTCCACCCTGGTCCTACCGATGCAGAGCAGAAGGGGAAAAAGGTTCTAGGCCTTGGGCAATTCTTAGACCGGATGGCATAGGGTCTCCTGCCTTGAGCAGGGTGTTGAATCAGAAGACCTTCAAGGTCCCTTCCAACCCTAGAATTCTGTCTTCTATGTTCCACTTGCATCAAAAGTATTATAGTTAGTTCTCAGCTTACAGCCATTTCTTTAATGACTATTCAAAGTTACAATGGTACTGAAAAAAGTGACTTATGACCTGTTCACACATTTACAACCGTTGTAGCATTTCCAGTCACAGGATCAAACTTGGGATACTTGGCAACCGGCGTGTATTTAAAAGGGTTGCAGCACCCCAGGGTCCTGGGACTGTCATTTGCAACCTTCCTAGGGAGCTTCTGACAAGCAAAGTCATAGGGTGAAGCAGATTTACTGAACGACTGCATGATTCATTTAACAACTGTAACAATTCACTTAACAACCATGGCAAAAAGGTTGTAAAATGGGACAGGACTCACTTAACAACTGCCTTGCTTAGCAAATGGAAATGTTGGGCTCAGTTGTGGTAATAAATTGAGAACGACCTGTATCTGAGTTATTTGAGACACTGAAAGAACAGAAAGAACACCATAAAATAAACTCAAAATTTTATCAATTTTCTTTCCTTTTCTACTTTTTAAATTTCTGTACCTTGTAGGAGGCACATCAATGTTTGAAGATACAACTTTGCGCTTCTGTTCAAGAAGACAGATAGAACGAGTATTTTCTTTTTCATGATCATGAATTCTGCCAAGTTTTTTGGTCTCTGTTTTTGAATCTTCCTCCTTCATAGCCAACACAAAAAATTGCTGATCTGAGAGTTTTTGATTTAGATCACTTTTTAGGTCTTCCTTTTGAAATGCTGCAAAGGTCATTTCATGCTTTATGCTGGTTACCTGAAAAATAAAATACATATATTATTAGATTTCTCACAATTCATTTTAAAAGAGTGAGCACATAATGCCTCCAGGTACTGAATTCTATTTAGCAGTTCAGGCTTTTATTACAACCATATTTGCTTTATAACCATCTGAAAACCTTTTCAGTTTTTTTCCTACAACTATTTGCAGTTCTCAAGCGTCTTCTTAACAATTTTCATCTCTATTCTGACAAAGAGAAACAAAAGTATTAAATCTGGAACTTCTCTGTGCCTCAGACATGTCTTCAAACATGTATTATATTAGACTGTTGTTGGTTTATAAACTTTTTTTAAATAGCAACTCTGCCTAGAAGCCAAGTTTTTGGCATGATGTCACCATGCAAATTATTTCTATCTGTCCCACCTGGTCAAAGGTGCATCAGCTGCAAAGCCCTTGATCTTTTTTCTGTCATGGCACTCTCCTTATGTAACATCATTCCACCTGAGAATAGGTTAGCTCCGACCTTGCTGATCTGGGGCACTGGGGATGTGTGATTGACTTTGTTGATGGTTATTTTGTGATGCTCAGCTGTTCTATGTTTTTATTTTATATTATATATTTTATTTGCTTTATTTATTGTACTGTAACCCGCCCAGAGTCATATATGTGAGATAGGTGGCCACATAAAGCAAATAAATGCTATTGCAAATCTCGGGGGAAATTTACAAAATTAGGGTGTGTAATTTATTATAGGTCATGTAAAAATTAATGCTGTTGGCCAAACTTGTGGCCAGCGTATTTTGATACCAGATACTATAGCGTATTTTTGCTATAGTAAAAATATCTCCGTAATGAAACTTGAACAGGATACTTTGCCACTAAAAACAACTTTTTAGCAAAGAAAGAAACTGTCTAATTTTCTATTTATATTTCCTTTATGATGTAACTGTGAAGTTATTAGACTGATAGGACAAGCTTCTAAACAATTTTGATCAGCTTTCTATATATTTTTTTATATCAGAACTGATGCTATCTTCCTACTGGACAAAGCAGGCACTGTCTTATCCAAAATGATCCTGCCTGACCAGTTGGGGAATTAAGGTCTTTTACTATCTCTACTATCATCACCGGCACCCCTTACACTTGAAAGTCATAGGAATGTGGATCAGAAAGCAGGACTTTCTGGAGGTAACACCATTTGTGGAATATGTTGCACTTGAAGGTACCATCAGCCTTCACTCCTAATTTTCAGGAACCTACCCACAAAACCTTTCTTATAAACAAGATAGTGGTTTCATGCTGAGCTGTAAAGGTTGAGAATTCCATCTTAATATAATATTTTACTTTTGAACATTATTATGCACTGTATTTCAAAAGACTGTTTGGCATTGTTACGTATAATTCAGAACCATAGGATTGGGGCTTATAGAATTTTTTGTAAGCAAACAAATCTGGGCCAAGATTTATGGACTGCGGGGTGGGAGAAGCATCATTTACTATTCTTCTTAAGCAGCAAAGTCACTTGGGATTATGCTGCCACTTTTTATAATGCAGATGCAAATTTTCCTACACGCTGGGATAGTGCACTCAATTCCTTATTCACATTAAGAGGATTACCATAAGAGATATTAGATTAAAAAAAAGTCAGCTTGCTTTGGGTTAAAATAGTTAAGTGCAGTGTTTTTTCAAATTTGGCAATTTTATGATGTGTGGATTTCAACTCCTACTGGCCTGGAAATACTGAGAGTTGAAGTCCACAATCTTAAAGTTATACTATTAGTTCTTGGCCCAACCCTAGTATCATAATTGCAAGAATATTTTCAATCTTTGCAATTTATGTGTCTTTGCCTTCCTAGTTCAATTCACTACAAGAGAAGAAAAATGTTCTGAGACCTGAAGTTGCACACAGCCCTAAGAGGCCCACCAGACCAGGAATGCTGTAAACTGGAAGCATAATTTCCAATCGCTTTGAGGATGGGAACAAATGAAGAGCTAGTATTGAATTAGGCACACCACAGTTAAACATTAAAGAAATTTTTTCAATCTCATCTTCAAATCCTGCCATCCTCATACTTGTGATTTGGATCCACCCACTCTGTGGCTTCAGGTTTGCTCTAGATATTGTCCTTGAAGAAGTGATCAATCTCAACACATAGATCATTAAACACTACAAGAGACAGATTACAGGAGACAGAATCCACAAGTTAAAGTACATTTGAGAATTCTTAAAACACTCACTTTTGGACTGTAAGTCCCAAGCATTCCACCATATACCACTGGAGGAGAGCCATGTTAATTGATGCCACAAAAAAAAAAAAAAAAAAAAAAAAATCAGAAGAAAACTGAACAAAATCAACAAATTTTGTTTATGCATGTTACTAAAATTTGTTAGTATATGACATATGGCAAAATCCCTACCATATGTTAGAATGAAAAATATGATTGAATGCATCTTGAGTAATTTTGCTAGTTTAGAGAACTTTCTATCAAATTTACAAAATAATTCCCAGTGAAATAATCAATAATGGCAAATAAAGTATGCAAAAAAAATTGTCTACAACTTCTGATGGGCCTTGAGACCTGAGGACCTGGTTTTATAGAATTGAAGGTTATGAATCTTTCTTCATAACCAAGCACCATTCTTCTGTACATGCGTTTGAGTTACAGTGTCTCAAGAAGTAAGTAAATTAAAGGCCAGACATTAAAGAGTGTTGTACTCACTGAAAGTGACATATGATTGTATATACCTAAGCACAAGATGTTCAGAAACATGTCAAGATGTACCAGGCTATGAAGGGATAGAAGGTTCCTGAACTGATCATCCTGACATGTTTCTTACATTTCCTGAGGATTTGGTACTGTCAAGTTTGGGCACAACCAGGAACATCCCAACGACCCCCACAAAGATTCATGATTTCTGCAGATTAATGAACAATCATCAATCAATTACACCCCAAGCTACAACACTGACGTAATCCAACACTACCTATAAAAAGAGATGAAAAAAGAAGTTGAAAGTCTCATTTTCCTTCCATCAAAGATACTTTTAAAAAGCTTTCCTGAAATTCCCAAGCCTGTTTTATTACTTGGTCAGTAATAAATAGGTTTCTTGATTCGTAAGATTTGTATGACTAAAAGACTGAATGTGTGATTCTCATACTGCTTAAAAAAAGCTTTTAAAATCTACCAATAATCTTTGGTACTACTGGACAGTGTTCACTGACTTTGCTATTGTGCTGCATAAAGATTCCTAATTCTATGGGAGAGGCAAATCTCTTGTTATATTTGTAACAACAGCAAAAGTAATTTGAAGATGGAATAGCAGTGTATGCAATATGATAATTAATAAAACAAATGGGCAAAAATAATAAATCAAACTTAGAACAAAATCTTAAAGTTTTAAAAGACAAAACTTCTAAACTCTCATTAAATGATGAGCAACTCAAATATCATTGCGATGCTCATCACAATGGACAACTCAGATATAGCACAGCCCTCCTTTCTATGCTTCTATGCTTTACTACTGTAGTGTTTTGTCACTAGATTTCAACATCATGAAGTATAGTGCCACTATTTTCCAGAGTGCTAAAAACAAAAATACAAGACAAAATTGGCATGCAAATCTCAGTAGCCTTAATATAATTTCATTTTTTTTTTAGTTACCCTTACCCGAAAAGTTTAGAAGAGAAGTTCACATTTATTAGCTCTGGTCTTAGACTGAATATGGCCATCACCTACATGACTGTCATAATTGATAAGCAACTCAGAAGTTGAGAAAGAGCAGAAATGAAATGCCTTCAATTTAATAAATATTTTGTCTTTAGTGTCACTGTTTTAAATCAGGTGTGTTCAACCTGTGACCCATGGGCTGCATGCGTCTCTGAACAGCTTGTAATGCAGCCCCACAAGACATAAAACTTTTTAATATTCTTATATGATTTATATACATTAATTATACTATACATATTATATGTGGCCGAAGACAGAGCAGCACAGTGATCTAGAGGTGAAGAAAGTTGCTTCCCACTCGGAAAGTTGAGAGTTCAATCTTAGGCAGCAACAGATGTTCCTATATTGGGGCACAAAGAGAAAATATCTGCTGCAAACTCCACATAGGTGTCAGGAAGGGCATCTAGCCAGTAAACAGTCAGCTCCATTCAGTCATCCCAACCCATCCTGATAAAAAGGAATTACAGGGTCGTAAAAAGAAAAAAAATGCAGCCCAAGACAATTCCTTTTTACTCAGTGCAGCCCAAGCAAGTCAAAAGGTTGGACACCCATGTTCTAGATGGAATATCTTAGGTAAAAAATGAATTTTTTCTACATTTCCTTATAAACCAATACTTCAAATAAGAAGTCTTTAACTCTGTAGTACAAAATGATAGTAATAAAAAAGTATGCTCTCTGTATCCTATGATACCTAGTCTCTACTTATTTGCTTTGCTACATAGTCCATACTAAGAACTAATAATTTTAGCTGACAACTATTTTTCCAAAGGTTTGAATAGTCAAACCATATACATTGCCTGCCTGTCTTTGATATACCATCTTATCTCTATAGGTTTCAGAATACAGAATTTTGGTCAGAATTCCATAACTTGGGGTAAGGGAAATCTTATTTTTTATTGAAAATTTTTAAAGTTTTACAATAAAATACTCCCCCCCTCCCATCCACCCCCCATTACCCTCCCCCCTCCTTCCCAGAGCTGAATACAGGGTTAAAGAAACAAAAAAACACATACAAATTAAATGAACATCAAACAATTATACATACATCCTAAAAAAGGAATTTTTAAATACTTTAACTCCAATACATAAAAACAAAAATTCTAACCATTACCCTTAAACATAAGTTATTCAAAAGCTAAATAATACTTTTTAATTCCATATTTATTCTGTACAAAATCTACCCATCTTTTCCACACCGAAATGTATCTCTCTTGTGGATCGTCTTTCAGATAAGCCGAAATTTTTGCCATTTCTGATAAATAAGAAACTTTAAAAAACCATTCTTCTATAGTAGGCAAAGAATCCTTCTTCCAATATTGCCCAATCAGCAACCTTGCCGCTGTGATTAAGTTCAACATCAAAATAATCTCTTTGCCATCACAATCAGCAATAATACCTAACAAAAACAATTATGGTGTAAATTTTATCCTTCTATTAAAAATCTTCTGAATGTTCCACCAAATCTTGATCCAGAAAGCCTTTATATTTCCACATGACCACCAAATATGATAATACGTTGCATCCAAAGAACCACATCTCCAGCATTTGGGCTGCACATTTGGATACATACGAGATATCTTTTGTGGATCAAGGTGACACCTATAAAACATTTTGTAGAAATTTTTTCATAAATTTTGAGCTTGCAAATGACAGCATATAAAACAGCTAAGAAAAGTGCTACAATATAATACATAGTTTAAAAACAAACACTTGTAAAAACGCTTTATTATATATTTTGACAAATACAAGATGGGGTTTTGGCGTTTTGGACACTGGAACTTCTAATACTTTTGTTTTTCTGCTAAAAGTACTTTATACATCCAAAATGAAAGCAACCATCAGAAGGTACATTACAACTGTATGCAACAGTTATAGTATGCAGTTGAGGTTTCACTGAAAATGCAACCTTACAGCCCAGTCCCAAACACACTTGAATAAAGCAGTTTTCAATAAAGTATATTAGGACTGAAATCTAAAGAGTGCATAATCATTTACTGGATTATCAAGATTTTTTTCTCTGCATTAAACAAACTGAACTGCGCCCTTCAAAAAAACTAACTTTTTAAAATGGTACTTTCTACCAAGTTAAATCCAAATTATCATCTAAACAGATGCAGGCTGAGCACATTCTTTCACTGATACTCAAGTGCAATGGAATCGATATGTGCTTTTAAAGTTTTTTTTTTTAGCAATTTTTTTTTATAAAAATGCCATGTATTTAACATGGACTTGTTTACATTCAACAGTTTTGTACTAAAAATAGTTCTTTTTGGCAGGAAAGCCTACAATAAATTTACATATGCTACAAGTTTTACATTTATTTACATGGCTCTTCCTTCCCTCCATAAAAGATATTTTTATAATTGTCAAATTCTTTAAACACGTTTACATAATAGATTGCCCTATTACACACTGGCCTTAGCAATTCAGTTTCAGGAAATGATGCAAAACATACAGAATGCGTATCAAAAACAGCTTAATAAAATTCACTGAAGAAAAAAGACACTTTTGGCAGTACCTGTCATTACGAACATTCAAGTTGGCACATTTTAGGGGTATCAATCTTCAATGCATTATAAGGATTGTACAAGAACTAGATCAATAATGAAAATAATTGGCATGCAATTAAACAAGTATTTATATAGATTGGCATTTCAAATCCACAATTTTGGATTTCAAGTCCCAAGGTTTTGGGTATTTGCTTGCCCAACCCATCAGTTCAATGATAGAAAAATGAATTACTTGAAGAAATTAAGAAATTTATAACAATTCGGGTTAAGAGCTCAAAAACTGATTTTGAATACTTACAGAATATCACAGTATAGGGAATAATCATACTTTGCAATTACATTGCCATTGTGATTAGAAATTTGTTTGGCTTGTATTACTGCATCCCAAAAGACATACTGTCGAGCACACTTTCTGAGAAAGAAAACTAAAATTATCTAATACGATTTATATAGAGAACAATGACTGAGATTTGGTCTAGACGAGGCTATCAAATTATTTTAACAATGCATCTGCAACACATAAAAATGTATACAGAGTAACACCCAAAAGTGAAGTATTTAATTAAGAGTATTTCCAAGGAGTGCTACCTTTCACCATCCTACACAATTCAACTACTTTCCAACATGGTGACTTAGTTCTGCATGCTGTGCTTTTTTTGAATTATGGACTCCAACATGGACTCATACTGAAACTACGAAGTGTCATTTTCTATGGAACTTAAGCCTATACTTTCAGTAAGATCTTAAGTTGAAAAGTCATGATTTCTTTATCCGCGGGGTTAAATGAAACAGTTACCCAGTGGCTCGGTGGTTTAGGAAGGACACTTGGGGATGGGGGCTCACTGAATTTTGCTCCAGCATAGTTTTGGTTGGTTTGAGGCATGAAAAGTGAGTGGGATAAAGCTAGATTCCAAGTCTGGTTCGTTTGGAAATGCACTGTGGCTTTTCCTTCATTGTGCATGGCCTGCCATGCTACAGATGATGGGTTGCAGCCATGCCCTCTCTCTTTCTTGTGAATTTTCTTCATATGGGAATTCTGATCTTTACTCTTTTTTCTATTATTCAGTTGTTGATGGCTCTTGGTAGCATTTCTGGACTGGACAGATGGAACACTGAATCTTTCTCCACCTCCCATCTTCAAGTTAAATGTCACCTTTCAGTTCTGTTTTCAGATTCCACAATGTCCACCTCCTGTCCTCTTTCTTGCTGCCAGACTTGAAAGAAAAGATGCTGACTTTTATTGGATCTCTTTTGGCTAGGAATGGTAGTTCTCATGGGCTGATTTGCCATTTTCAGCCACGAAGCCAAGCCCAACATCAGATTCTCGGCACGTGGGCTTTAAGGGTAGAAGTCCCAGCTCTTCAGCTGTAGCCGAAACTGCTCCGCTCCTCCGGCTCCTGCTGACTTCTATTTCCACCGCCTCAAAAAACTCTCGCACAAAATGGCCGACAATTCACGACTTTGAGCCCCAAAGAGCCGGGGTAAGGGAAATCTTACAAAAAAAAGCTACAGCGTTCAAAGTAAAGCTTCAGTGAAGCACAAACTCAGAAAGTTGACAAAAACTGATGAATTTATTTCCTTATTGCTACACCAATTGGAAGAAATGGCTTATGTTGCTAACAGACCATAAATAGAACAAAGTATTTGAGACAAAACTAAGCTTTTATCTAATAAAGGTGATCAATTGGTAGCAGACAATGAGAATGCAGCTCAGAAGATGCAGTTCAGTTGAATGCAAAAACATTACAAAGTCAATTTAAAATACAGGACTGGTGGTAAATGACACTTTTGAAGAATGGACATGAATGAAATTTGTTTGTAAGGATTTAACATACAATGAGTCTTATATCACAACATTTTCCTGAGATGTTTTACTAGCACTAATAAACTCTTCCTGTAATTATGGAATATACTTCACAGTGAATCTTTACTAATAGCAATGGTAACTGTACAAATACTCTATTCTATTAAAACAAACACCTAAGAGACTATTTTAAACCAAAACAATTTCTGTACATATTTCTTAAAATGTTTCTTCAACATCAATCACTTCTAAATATTCTTTCATTTCTTATGCCAGCCTGAGGATGAAGCAATTTTAAACAGAAAAATTATATCAAAAAATCCTCTCACCAGGAAATCTCTAAAGTATTCATGAAAAGAACCACAATGTAGTCGTCATGCTAGAAAAAGTGGTATTCTGATTTTTCATGTATTACTACATTTGGGGCAACTCAACTTAATTTATATTTATTTTTTTACATTATTAATAATTCCTTATTAAAAATATTAATTACATATGATCAAAGCATCTGAAAAGGGTTGTATGTAAAAGTAGTACCTAAAGTAATGAATTAGGAGAATCACTGTAAATTTTCTACACAAACTGTTTGTTATATTGTATTTGTGCAATATATATGCATACAAAATAAGGAGGACATCTACATATCTATTACTGTGCCTACTTTTAGAATTAACAGTTCAGGGAAGATATCAAATAAGTACCTGAAAACTAGCCCTCAGCTGTGGTTGCTTCATAAAATAACTAAGCAAAGACACACCTGATTAGTGCTTGGCAGGGACACTATAAAAAATATCTAGACTATGGTCTAGACTGGGAAATTAAAAACAAAAGCAGTGGCAATATATCCCTTCCATATTTCAAGAGAACAACCAAATAGACATGACCACATGATCAACCAAAGATTAAGATTAGTAAACAAAACTGTCTCCTCTCTGCGATGTTGTATATCAGGAAAGAAATTTCCTGACAGTGAGGACAATCAACCAGTGGAACAGCTTACCTCCAGAAATCATGGGGGCTCCATCACTGGAGATTTTTAAGAAGAGACTGCAGGGGGGTGGACTAGAAGACCTCCAAGGTCCCTTCCAACTCTATTCTATTCTATTCTATTCTATTCTATTCTATTCTATTCTATTCTATTCTACTCTACTCTACTCTACTTTCAAAACAATTTACTACCCAAAATAATCACATTCAACAACACTGATTACCAGTGATATGTCCAAACTATTCCCTGATTGCTCCCATTTTTCTATTATAAAAAATGATGAATGATATTTCCACTATCAAGCACACAGTATACAAGTAGTCCTTGACTTACAACAGTTCATTTAGTGACCATTTGAAGTTACAATGGCACTGAAAAAAGTGATTTATGGCTGTTTTTCACACTTATGATGGTTGCAGCATCCCCGTGTGAACAAAATTCAGATGCTTGCCAATTGACTCATATTTATGACAGTTGCAGTGTCCTGGGGTCATGTGATCACCTTTTGTGACAAGCATAGTCAATGGGGAAGCCAGATTCACTTAACAACCATGTTACTAACTTAACAACTGCACTGATTCACTTAACAATTGTGGCAAGAAAGGTTGTTAAAATGCGACAAAAATCATTTAACAATGTCTTACTTTTGGGCTCAATTGTGGTCCTAAGTTGAGAATTACCAGTATTTCTTCATGTTACTGGAAACTAAGATTTAGATCCTAAATGTAAGATAGCGGTAAAAGTTACTACTATAAATAATTTATTTTTAAAATAATAAACCTACAGAAATAATGTAAGTGCAAATACACTATTGCAGGGCACTCATACATCCTTTGCCACTACTACCTATAGTAGTAAAAGGAAATTGCTTTTATTTTTATAACTGTATATTTTTCTACTAAGGAAGCAATACTATTCATTGTACATTTCTTTTTGTTTAACCATCATGCTGAATAATTTCTAACAAAACAATTTTGCTATAGAACATTAAGAAAACCCCCCCAAGAACGTCTGCAAAGACAATAAAGGGGTAAAAAGTTAAGTTAGTAGTTGTAATTGTGCAGCTGAAGCTAATTTATTTTTGTTTATGAAGTTAATTCATAAACAAAAGAGGTAGTGTTTCAGTCATGCAGTTGTGATTACCATATGAACTTTTTTGATATCTCCATGGATGCCCCTGGAAAGCACCATGGAGATAAAATCTTTCTACACACACACACACACACACAGAAATTTTTTAAATTTTTTACTAGTTTTAATTCAGATGATCAGAAAATAATATCTGAACTAGTTCAGTCACCGGAAGTTAAAAACTGACTCAGTGGTACACACCCACACCCACATACACACCCACCCACACACACACACACACACACACACACAGTTCTTCAACATAAATTTAGCTAGCAAATCCCTTCTTCAGCTTTCTCTAAGTAGCCTGCTTGTTTACTCAGAATATCCACTTTATTTTTTAAAAAAATGTCCTGATTATATATAAATATATTGAGGAAACTCTGTTGTAAGCAGTTTAGGACAAAACAGCACTTCCACTGGGTAGTAAGTTTACTGAACAACTTCCTTTCTTACACCATGAAAATTTGATCCTTTTCTATATGCTACATAGCTTAGCACAAAAATGTTTTTGTACTCAAAAACTTTGCTACTTCTTGTTTTGGTCAAGCTTATTGCTGATGATATCAAAAAGTTTTGACCCCCCACAAGCAACTACTATGTGTCAGGAAATATTTAGCAACCTACATAAAAATATGCCATATTCATCACCAATATAGTTCTTTGAGAAAAGTCTGTGGAGGCCAAATACAGGCTGTGTTTTTTCTCAACTTGTCCCTTTACAGTTTTAACATGTCTATGCTTACCCTTAGACCGCTCTTTTAACACAGTAGCTGAATTTCATACACTTTACCAAATCATTATTGGTTATTAATATTAGCTTCTCATACCTTACAGCATGGGGAAGAAATGGAGGTATGGAGGTAGTGACAGATTTTATTTTTCTGGGCTCCAAGATCACCTCAGATGGGGACTGCAGCCAAGAAATTAAAAGACGCTTGCTCCTGGGGAGGAAAGCTATGGCAAATCTAGACAGCATACTAAAAAGCAGAGACATCACCCTGCCAACAAAAGTGCGTATAGTCCAGGCCATGGTTTTCCCAGTTGCAATGTATGGCTGTGAAAGTTGGACCATAAGAAAGGCTGAGCGCCAAAGAATTGAGGCCTTTGAACTATGGTGCTGGAGAAGACTCCTGCGAGTCCCTTGGACTGCAAGGCGTTCAAACCGGTCAGTCCTAGAAGAGATCAACCCCGACTGCTCTTTAGAAGGCCAGATCCTGAAGTTGAAACTCAAATACTTTGACCATCTAATGAGAAGGAAGGACTCACTGGAGAAGGGCCTAATGCTGGGAAAGATTAAGGGCAACAGAAGAAGGGGACGACAGAGAATGAGGTGGCTGGATGAGTCACTGAAGCAGTAGGTGTGAACTTAAATGGACTCCAGAAGATGGTAGAGGACAGGAAGACATGGAGGAACGTTGTCCATGGGGTCGCGATGGGTCGGACACGACTTCGCAATTAACAACAACAACAACCTTACAGCAACAAAGACTGATAATTCATTACTCACAATGGAGGCCAAAAACAAACAAGGTATATCTTCTTAAATGCAACATATAAACTTATTATATGTCAAAAAGTTCCACTGAGTGAAAAAAAAACACATTAGGAGCAAATATGTAGCTATTTACCAACTTGTAACAATAGGCCATCTTTCCATTTTTAATTAAGTTGGCCTGTTTTTGCAAAACTCACTGACATGGAATCTTCTAATTTATGCTAACTTAAGGATATGAGCAAACAGAGTTAATTACTTTAATCATCTATCGTATCTGATTTTTTTTAGTATTGGTTAAATAATACAAGAGAAAAACCTGTAAAGTGAAATGCCAGCAACATATATTATCTATTCCAATTTTTCTTTTACAATAAAATTCAAATAGCTAAAATACCTGTTGAAAAATATTTTTTTCTCAAAATACACAACAAAATGCAAGAAAACAAAAAAGTAAATTAAAAAAATATACAACAGGGTCATCTACTTCTGAAAGCTTCTTTTTCTTAAGCATATTTCTAAACAGGAAAATGTTAACAAGTGCTGCAGCCAAAGATGCTTTCTGAATAACAACTCATTCTGGAAATTGTTGAAATAACTAGGATGCTACTTTTGTTCATTATCTGTACAGAACCTCAAAGGTTAACCAAAACACATAGGAAATGCATCTACTTAAATCAAGAATGTTTATGGTTTTAAAAGCCAAAAATCAAAAACTTCAATTTAACTGAGCTTCAGATCCACAAGATCAAGGGATAACCTTTTGTCTGTCAAGAGTTATTTGGGACCAAATTTAGTCCATGATCCTGATTCAAGAGCCATTTTGCTTGTTCACAATACTTTACACATTTATCCTTATTAATATTTCAAATTATAAAATATATAACAATGTTTAGCTGATCTTTCAGTATCTAGTTATATTGAAGATTTTAAAATGCTGCATGGAAATTCTGACCATAGATCCAGCTAGAAAATCACAGGTTTGCGTCAGAAATTGCACAGATTTGTTTCTCTGATGGATACACTGACACATCAACTTTCAGTGCAATAACCAAGCTTTAATTTATTTTGCTTTTCTAATATATCTTTTATTCTAATGTCATAGAATATATTAGGTTTCTTTGCATCTTCCCTGTAACCTGTATTTATCTGAGAGTAAGATTTATTGAACTTACTATTACCTTTTGGGTGCTATAATACACAAACTACTCCTAAGCATGTATTAGAACTGCAGGGTTTATACAGTTGGTTTTCCTGCACTACAGCAGTTCTACCGGCTGATGTCATTTTTACCTTCTTCCCTTTTTGGCATTCCCCTTGGTCTTTTAAAGCTTTACTATTGTTTCTGTAACATACGCTTTAGCTGCATGTATTTCAAAGCTGTGTGTGCCCACATCCCAGTTATTTTTAATCATTCTCTCCAATGGTCATTCCTCTTTCATCAGCCAGCCTTTTTATTTCCATTAAAATAGTTGATTCTGGATATCTACTTTGGTCTAATCATAGCAATCATCCAACGATAAATTATCTGATCAGGCACAACAGACTTGTTAAAGGGTTGATTTTTAAAATACTGTAAACAACAGCCATCTTTATTTGCACTACACGAGTTATCCGAGTTGGGGAACAAAACAGACGAATGCCAACCCTCCAGGGCTGTTAAACCAGCATTTTATTCCATCTCTTTCCTTCTATAAATTCAATTGACCATGCATTTTAGAAATATAAAATTAAAAATGGGAACACCCCGCTCTTGCCTTTCAGAACATTTCTTCTCAAAATAAGATGAATACTGAATATGAAGTCTATTGTTATACAACCTGACTCGCACAGAAATCCCTTCTCCGGACCTAGACATTTTAGCTGAATGAAAATCAGCGGAGGATACACCAGGGCAGAACAAGAAGCTCTGCCCTTGTTACAAAGGAAGGGTTGAAACGGCTCTTAATCTTCCGCGCAGCAAAGACACTCTAGGTATGCTCAGACGCCTTCTGCTCTTTGCACTCTCTCATCCTCTTGCTAACCTTGACTACAACTTGGGGCTGACTTAGCCCTGCCTCAACTTCAAGCGGCTGCCCGAGGAAGGACGCCGCTATCCTCATTCACGAAGGTTCCTTGCCGAAATTCACACACCCCATAACCTGCCGCACTGACCCACCCAGCCCCCTATCCCCCCCCCGCTTCCCACAGTCGAGCCAGGCGGAGCCTCTGACGGCGGGGACGCTTTTCTGGCGACGGCGACGCACCTTTAGGCTTACCCGGGAGGCCGCGTGGCCCTTGACCGACCCTGACAGCTCCTCCGTCTCGTCGGCGTCGTCGTCCTCCTCGACATCTACCACCACGTCCTCCTCTTCGTCCTCCTCCTCGAGGGCGGCAGCCGAGCCCTCGCGCCGAGGCGGCCTCCAGGAGTTTTCGGTCTTCGCTATGCCGCGACTGCCCGATTCCGGGAAAGGCTGCGCGGCCGAGGGCGGCCCCGCCGCGTTCAAGCGCCGGTTCCCCAGACTGGAGCGCTTGGCCAGACGCCGCGCTTGCATGGCCGCGCCCAGCACAGCTTAGCGCGCCGCACCGAGGAGGAGTGGGCTCGGCTCGGCTGGGCTGTGGGCAAGGCTGAGAGAGGGGGCGGGAGCGGCGGCGGCGGCTATTGCCGCTATAGCCGAGGCACTCGCGGCAAGGCAGCAGAGGTGGTGCAGCCGCAGTTTACAGCGGATGCGCTGGGCTGGGCAGGAAGGCCGGGCGCGCCGCTACAGCCATCGGGCGTTTTGGCCCGGCGAGGACTTAGGGACCCTGCTGGGATAAGCTCCCCTCTGCAGGTCAGCGGCGTTTCCCAGATGTTGGTGAAAGGGCGGGCGAGCTGGGTGGATGGACCGAGCTAGCCTTTGCTAGCCTTTCCCTGCGGCTCGTTAGTCCTCAGCCCCAAAACCCGGACTGGAGTCGCCTGCCTCTGAAATGCTAGTCGGCGGCAGTTTCGCCTGCCCGCCGCCGCCGCCGCTCTAGTCACACGCGTCGGCTGAGGGATTTCTGATCTGGGAGCGCGGCTATGGCCTTCCTCGCCTCCAAGTGCCCTGAAGCGCCCAGCAACCAATAGTGACAACAACACAATGTGCTGTGGAATAGGAGGCGCGGATTTCAAAGGCAGGTTTGGGCTGGGGCAGGATAGGTCTTCAGTAATTGCGGAGAAAGCCACATGCGGGCACCAACCAGATTAGGGTAGTGATGAGAGTTTCTAGGACAGATTGGTGGAGACCAGGCGAGCATCGCATTGATCGAGTAACGACTTTTTAGGTTCTTTTTTAGCGCTACCCCGCAACCTAGTAAGATACGCCAAGACATTCCGATGCCTTGCAGTCTTGCTCCCATTAAACTTTTTTGGTTTGGGCGGGGGCGGGGTGTTGGTGGTTCCTTCCAGTCAGTCAGGGACTTCTGGCAACTTTCTGCAGAAGTCCCTGCAGTTTTCTTGGCAGCATTTCTGAAGTGATTTGCCATTGCCGGCTTCTTGGGATTGAGAGAGTGACTGGTCCAAGTTAAACAACTGGTTTTGTGCCCAAGGCAGGACAGTTTGTTTCTAATCTGATGCCTTAACCATTCTTAAACGGCTGAAAACATTGCCTGTATTGCTTAGGGGTAGGTTTTTTTTTTTTAATTTGATACTTTATCATTTGACTCATTTCAAAATCCTATGTGCCTCTGGTGGAAACTCTTTCCTTGTGAATGAAAATGATTCTATTACAGTCAGTTGAATAAAGTAATTTATCCTATTGTCCAACCATCAAATATGAAAAAGTAGCAATAATCATTATGACTCTGAAGTTCTTCCCCAAAGAAAAGTGCTTAGCAGTTGAAGCCACAAAACAAAACACAATAAACTCTACATTTCAGACTTACATCATTATGATAATGGGATTTTCACCTCTTTTGGTGTCACTGTGGTTAATGGGCTAGAGAATCCTTCATTTGTTTTTAAATCCCAAGGAGAAATGTGAAAAAAGTATTCCCATTTCTATTCGATCATACATACATCATATCAATACATTCATTTTGAAGTGTTGTTTTGTTAAGTATTTTTATCCCAATGCAACAAGTGAAATAGCGCTAAGTGTACAAGCCTGTGCTCTGTCTCTACTTTTATCCCAAATATTTGTCAAATAGACAATGACCAGATGCTATATTTTATACTAGTTGAATCTTGTAGTCATTTTTAAAAGTTTGCAGATAGGAGAAACTGCTGTACCTACTATGACATGGTCATAATTGCAGAATTGATTATAGGATCCAAACCATTTTAAAAGTCTTTTTAGAGGGCCTATAATAGAGGATTTCTTGGAGGCAAGCTACACTGACATCCTTAAAAATCTCAGTCCTTTAAAACAACCTCAAAATCATCCCTGAATTGTGATTTTAGACCCAATGTTCTGTTTTTTGGTAATTAAAGATAGGGATGGCAATAGTTACTTGCCATCCTTAAATCACTTCAGAGAGATGAAACATGAAATGTGTTTTGCCATATTTGCCTCACATCACAGTAGTTTCCTGGAAGCTCAGGAGGCTGAGTTGCAGCCCCCAGCCCTTAAATGTTCCACATCTCATTCCAGTATAGGCCTTCTCTTGAATGATGGAACATTTTCTCAAATAAACATTCCTCTTTTGGATTTTTTAAAAAATATTTTTATCTCTCCTTTTTTTGACATGCATCTCAAGACTGCAAACATACTGAATACTCCTTCATCTTCCTGTTTTCCCAACAATAATATCCCTGTGAGATGAATTGGGCTGAGAGAAAGTGACTGGCCAAAATTACCCAGTCAAATTTGGACCAGTGGTTTTCTGTTATTTCTAAAGTCCATAGGTTTTTGTTTAAAGCAAGGGAGATTTTTCTGCTTATAGAGCAAGTCAGGTTTATCTCCTACATATATACGGTACATGCAAATATATTCTACATTAGCTTTTCAATGAACTGTTTTCTTCAAGTTCAAACAAGAATAGATTCTCCTTATGTTTAAAACCATAATACTGTCATTCATCTGTCATATTTGGGAAATGCACCAAATGAACAACATTCCTACTATTAATATTGGCAGAGTCAAAAAAATTCTTAAAATGAGGGTACAGATAAACCTGAGATCATAATTGTATTACCTTTCAATAAACAATAAACTGGTTGAAATACCATGTGCTGCATCCTTTGACATCCTTGGACACATATTTTATGATTCTTCATATAGTCTTTCATTGGAGACTTCCATGAAAGTAATGCTCATATGCTACACCCCAAAGACATAGTAGCTATAAATATAAATTAATTTCCTAGTCACTGGCCAGCCTTCCATCTGCCATTATTTTGGCTAACATGACCATATAGACTTGATAGAAATTGGATTATGACACATCTGGAGGTAACAGGTTCAGGACATATGGTGCACCATTAGTTAGCTGTAATTTGATAAAGGCATACTGTGGGAATATTTTCCAATTTATGAACCCTGACTGTTTTTTAATTTTTATATGGGCAGTCAACAAGTAATCAATATCTTGATAGTTATCAGAATAATATAAAAGTTTCAATGACATACAGGCTGTAATTCATGAAATATGTTCCAAAATATTATTCTCACAGACAATTACTGGCTTATTCATCTGGTAATTCAAAAAATTATATGAATATGAATGTTGACATTTTTGTCTTTAAAAAAATCTTTCATAATTTTCTCTGAATTTCCATGGAATATCAGTCAGGTTCAGGATTTCATTCAAATGAGACTTTATTTCAATTGACAAGACTATTTCACTGTTTTGTACTGCAGCTCTCTAAAAAAGAGAGAAATTGGATTGTTCAATATTTGAAAAAAATAATCCTAATTCCTGTTATGAATCCATTACAGCTTTTCAGTTAGACCGTTCCTCCTACCGGCAGAATGCAGACTGTAAACATGTGTGGCTCTGTGAAAAAGCTAGCTTCTCATTGGTTTAACTTCTCCAGGCCTCCACTGAGCTACACATCTGAGCTGTCAGTTACTTTTATGGAGTGCACTAGTTTTTGGCGCCACATCTGGGACTGAGGTTACAATAACAGGAGCCTGAACAGCAGTGCCTAGAAGACGAAAAGCATTTGCTGAGACTGTTAGAATGTTCGCAGCCAGGAACATTTCAGAGAAAATGTTCAAAATAATGCAACATGTTTGCATGCTCAGCCATAACACTCTTTATGATGATTTATATGATTTCTTTAAAGTATTAATAAAATTAAAGTGATTAAAATAGAATGATCACCAGACTAGGAAGTACACTCAGCATGCATCAGTACTTAGAAGTAAATTCCATTGTGGTCAATGAAGCTTCTTTAAGATCTTCTAGTCCAACCCCCTGCTCAAGCAGGAGACCCTATGCCATTTCAGATACAGTAGGTGGCTGTCCAGTCTATTCTTTAAAATCTCCAGTGTTGAAGCACCTACAACTTCTGAAGGCAAGCTGTTCCACTGGTTAGTTGTGCTCACTATTAGGAAGTTTCTCCTTAATTTCAGGTTGCTTCATTCCTTAATTAGTTTCTATCCATTGTTTCTTGTCTTTTGGTGCTTTAGAAAATAAGTTGACCTCCTCTTCTTTGTATCAGCCCCTCAAATGCTGGAATACTATTAGTCCTTCTTCTCTCTTGATTGGCCATACCCAGTTCCTGCAACTGTTCTTCATATGTTTTTGTCTCCAGGCTTTTAGTCATCTTAGTTGCTCTTCTTTGCACTTTTTCAAAGTCTCAACATTTTTTTTGTGTAATGTGGTGACCAAAACTAGATGCAGTATTCCAGGTGTGGACTTACTAAGGAGTTATAAAACAGTACTAATACTTCACATGATTTGATTCTTTGCCTCTGTTTATACAACCCAGCAGCTTTTTTGGCTGCTGCCACACACTACTGGCTCGTGTTTAAGTGATTCACTAGGACTCCAAGGTCCCTATCACAGTTACTGTTTTTGAGCCAGATTTTGCCTAATCTGTACTTATACCTTTGGTTTTTCCTACCTAGGTCTAAAACCTTGCTTTTCTCTACATTAAATTTCATGTTGTTGGATCCATCAGTGTTACTGGAACAGCTAAGAAATACATTTATGTATTACATTTTTATATTACTGGATTCATAGTCAATTCCTTGCAGTTTGTATTTTAAAGAGTCAGTATCAATAATAAACATGTTAACTGTAAATTATCCACATTAAACATCAATATATTATTATAATATATAGATAGTGTTTTCACCTATGACATAGCAAATATTATCAATTAGTTAAATTCTAAATGCCTTCCTGAAAAATGTTGTCTTAATATCTGTCAGGAAAAGAAGGAACCATAGTTTTTCCTAGGATGATCTTATTGGGAGATGGGTTGTTCTGTTTAAAAGAGGCAGTCCTGGGCAATCAGTCATACAGGACTTTGTAGCTCAAAACCAACATTCGGAGTTGCAGCTGAAAGCCAAGTATGATGTGCTCATGGTGATAAATGCAAAATAACAAACACAGAAGGCATTGCATTTTACAGTATATCACCTGCAGCTTCTGCTTAGTCTTCAAAGGCAGCACCATGTAGAGCACATTGTAGTAGACCAGATAGTGGTGAATTTATGAGTTACTATTGCATCCCGTATCCTCCTGCTCAATATAGCGCCATAATTGGTGCCTCTACTGAAACTGGGCAAAGCCTGTGTGTCCAACTGTTAATTCAGCAGTAGCTGTACATCCAGGGAGACTTCAGACCTACTTCTACAGGGTTAGTGCCTATCTTGAGAGATATTCTCAGGCTAACTAGGCCATGAGAAACAGCACCATCATCTCTTTGGGTTCAACTTCAACATATTTCATCCCACCTAAATATCAATAGGACAACTTGAGTGTATTACTGGTTGACTTTTCTCAGTGGTTTCATGTAAATATTAAAAGTCAGACAATGGTTCACCAAAATCTATGGCATGCTAGATTAGAGCAGCCACTCTAATTGCACAACTGCTCTTTCTGTGCTACCACTAACTGGAACCAGCCTCTAAGGAATGAGCAGAACTATTACAGAAGAATTCCTCTAAT